CAAGCATTGTATGATAAAGGGACTGTCCTTTGGCGTAGAGTAGTCATCACTGTGAGCCGAGGCAATGCAGCCGCGACAGGCGCCGCAGCATACACGCGACGAGCCTCTGCTTGCAACCTGCAGCGTATTCGTGCCACTCTCGCGGCACCGTCGGCAGCCACGACGTCTGGTCGGCGCCAGTGTTCGTGGCCGTCCCTTCGTATACCCTGTACGTCCATCATCGCTCTCTTCTTGTCTCGTGCGATCCACCCAGAGGTGTTTTCGATGCACCCAAATGGGCTTGGCTTCTAGAAGTCGACTGGGATCAACAGTAGCACGTGTGGCGGCCGCAAGAATGACGGTCGACCTTCGCGAACTCGTGATGGCGTGCAAGGGTTGTCGGCTCCATCATCATCGCTCGCCAACTGGCTCGTCTTGGGTGGGTGCCGTTCCCAGGTTGCACTTTCTATTTTAATTTCACAATTGCACTCTGCATACATATTTTGAGTGTGAAATAAAATACCAAGCCGCCTGCTGTTTCAGGATCGCGGATTGTTCCTGGATCCGAGGTCCAAGGTTAGCAAGCCATTCTTCGATTGGCGTGGTGGCGAGTGCAAGCAGTTCGATGGCCAAGTACATGTCGGTGGCGGCGACCGCCAAGCCGGCGGCCGACGTGACGCACCCGCTCACGCGCGCGGGCTACCTCTCCAAGATCACATTTGGCTGGGCGAACGCGCTCCTCGCGCTTGGCCACGAACGCCAGATCGACCCGGACGACCTCTGGCCGCTGGCACCGGAAAACACGTGCAAGGCCGTGAGCAGCGTCTTTGAGCCGTCGTTCACGTCGTCGCATTCGATCGTCAAGACCATCTTTTCGCTCTACGGCTGGCGGCTCTTCTTGGTGGGCCTCCTGCAGGCGCTCACACTGGGCTGCACCTTGTACGGCCCGATCGTGCTCAAGACGATCTTGACCGCGGTCGAAGGCCCGTCGTTTGACCTCGTGCGCGTGCTCAAGTTTGTCGTCTCGCTCTTTGCGGTCAAGGCGCTGCAAGCGATCCTCACGGCGCACGCCAACCTCGCGAACCAGCTCATTACGATCAAGATCACGTCGGCGCTGCAGCACCTTCTCTTCCAGAAGGCCCTCGTCCTCGACGCGGCCTGTCGCCGTGAAAAGACGGCCGGCGAAATCGCCAACATGTTTTCGTCCGACATCCAGTGGATCATCTCGTTTGCTATGTACACGAACCAAATCTGGTTGATTCCGCTCCAGCTGTTCATCGTGCTCGGCATGCTCTACGACGTCATTGGGTGGGCGACGTTTGTCGGCGCCGGCGTCATTGCGATCACGCTCCTCAGCAACAATGTGCTCGCGAATGCCCAGCGCAACGCGTTCAAGACGCTCATGACGCAGAAGGACGAGCGCATGAAGGCTGTGAACGAGGTCTTTGGCGCCATGCAGATCATCAAGCTCAACGCGTGGGAAGAGAAGTTTGGCGACAAGATTGCCGAGCTCCGCCGCGACGAAGTGTCGACGCTCAGCTACCTCGTGACGCTCACGTCCGTCCAGATTGGCTGCCTCTACTCGGCGCCGGTCCTCGTCACCGTCTCGTCGTTTGCCATCTACGCGCTCGTGATGCAGCAAGCGGTGACAGCCGCCAAGGTCTTCACCGCGCTCTCGCTCTTTACATTGCTGCGCGGCCCGATGATGAACCTGCCGCAGGTCGTCGCCAACCTCATGCAGGCGGTCGTGGCACTCAAGCGCATCATGGAGTTTCTCGACATGGACGAGAAGGACACGGACGTCGTCAAGACGCCCGAGACCATCTCAACGTCGGAACTCAACGCGTACGCTGAAAAGAAGATTGACATTGAGATTGCCGACGGCACGTTTGCATGGGACGTCAGCGGCAAGCCGCTCTTCAACGGCATCAACCTCCAAATCAAGCGTGGCGAGTTTGTGCTCGTTCATGGCGCGGTCGGCGAAGGCAAGTCGTCGCTCGTCTCGGCGCTGCTCGGCGAGATGCACAAGCGCCACGGGTCGGTGTTTGTGGGCGGCCAAGTGGCCTACTTTTC